TTTACACAAATGAAGGTGGTTTTCATATGATCACTCCTCTCTCTCTCTCTCTCTCTCTCTCTCTCTCTCTCTCTCTATATATATATATATATATATAAGGGATAAAATACAAACCAAACCATTTGTACAAACCTTGAAAACCGTCGATTTCATTATTTATTTTAGTGAAATTTTTCATAAAAATTGTTTAATATTATGAAATTGTTTCAAATTATTCGTTCTATGATAAAATTTGTTCACCAAAATTAATAGAATGATAATGTCCATAATTATTTGAAATGAATTCTTTTGAAATAATTTCATGAAAAAAAAATTACTAAAATAAACGATGAAATCAATGGTTTTTCACAATTTATATAAATGGCTTGTTTTGCAAAATATCTCTCACTTGTATATATTTTAAATGTGTTTTTGTTAGAAATCACATGTAATTTTGTTTTCATTTTTTAATATTTAATTTGAATCATTGTTTTTTCAAGTTGTAAATCACATATGATTAGAAAAATATTTTGAACAAAAAATAATTAATTATGAATCACATATAATTTTGACGAAATTTTTTTTTTTAAATATTGATCTAAATGTAAATTAAATACGCTTATTTCAAATATATTAAATATATAATATTTTTATAAGTAAAGAATGGAATCATATTAAAATCATATATATAATAAAAAAATCATTTAATTAATAATTTTAATTTTTTGGTTATATTTATCAAATTAAATATTAAAAGATTATCTTTTTTCTATATAATTTTTAAATTTTATTTATTTTTGACTGAAAATAACACGTTTTTATTAATGATCAGAAAAGTTACAATAACAAAAATAGCCATGTAATTAGCAGGTCCGTAATTTACAGAGGGGTTAAAATATAAAAAAAAAAAGAAGTTTTCGAATTAGGTCTATAATTATAGGGACCAAATATGTAAATTTAGAAAAACACATCTGCCTACTTATTTTTGCAAATCTATAACTAATTCACATATTTGGTCCAGACCCGATTTAGAAAACTTCTTTATTTTTACATTTTGATACTTTTATAAATTACGGACCTGTCAATTACAGACCTATAAATATTTTCGTTATTTAAAAAAAAGGATTAAAATGAGTATTTTAATTAATTTATATTTGCCAATTTCTGAAGATGACCGCTTCCAACTTGTAACAAACCCACAATTGATCAGCCCACCATTTTTATGCATATTCTTTCTTGTGAATTACCAAAAACAGCCCTATGACTCAAAACAATGACCCCACAATCATCAAATACTGTCCAGGGGCAGGCTGGTAAAATCAGTCACCACCTCTACTCTACCTATAACCACCATTCTTTTGCATATTTTTTTCTGCTTGTGAAATACCAAAAATAGCCCTAGGCCTCAAAGCTATGGCCCCAGTCCCCACAGTCATCAAAAGGGTAGGCCGGTAAAATCAACACCACCTCTAACTCTAGGTAACAAGTACAAGAGGGTAAAGACCATCAATGCGGCATCTGTCTCCTGTGATTCACCTTCAACAACTCGCCGGAAATCGCTTCACAGCCTGCCGGAAAATGGGTTTGTTTCAGAAAAAGTAGAACGCTAAAATGGTGGAAGATAAAACCCAAATCGTCGGAGTTCACGCCGGTAATTCAAGACTCCGGTTAGCCACTGATCAAATCTCTTCTTTAATAGTCCTCTCACACTCGATCAAAGTCTTTTCATCCAGATGGAAATTGATAAGAAACAAGCTAAACGAGATTCTTCCCCTTCTCCCGCCGGAAATTCAGGATTCCGGTGACGGCCCATCGTTCTCTGGCGTCATTCAAGCCATTGAAGAAACAACAGAATTCACCACCAAATTGGCTCAGAAATGCATTGATTTTTCCTACAGCGGGAAACTGTTGATGCAAAGCGATCTTGATATAATTTGTGTGAAATTCAACAACCATATAAAGTCTTTATCTGAATTATCTTCCATCGATGCGTTTTCATCAAATGGGCAATACGCCATTGTAGTTTCAAGACCTGGGCCCACAGCTTCAAGAGACGACATCAGGTTCTATTTCAAGGATTTGTTATCAAGGTTCAAAATTGGGAACAGTGAGATGAAGGAACAGGCTTTGATTTGTTTCAATGAAGTGATTCAAGAAGATAACAGGTGTGTAAAGACTGCCATGGAGATTGATGGGCTTGTTTTTGTTTTAGTGGAGTTTTTGGGTTCAAAAGAAGTGGGAATTCAAGAAGAGGCTTTGAAATCTTTGGATATGATTTGTCGGTTTCATTCATACAAAGGTGTTTTAGCTTCGATTGGAATCGTTGCTCCACTAATTAGAGCTTTGGAGGGTGGTAGCCATTTGAGCAAAAAACTGTCCACCAGGTGTTTGATGAAAGTCACAGCTGATTCTGATAACGCCTGGGCAGTCTCAGCTCATGGTGGTGTGACTGCGTTGTTGAGGATCTCTGCTAGTGAGTCTGAAAATGGTGCTGAATTGGTTAGTTTGGCTTGTGGGGTTCTCAAAAATCTCGTCGGAGTTGAAGAAATCAAGCGATTTATAGTCGAAGAAGGCACAATTCCAATGTTCATAAACCTCGTTAAATCCATAAATGAAGTAACCCAAATCAGCGCAATTGATTTTCTCCGATCTATAGCCTCCGGAGATGAATTAGTAGCCAATTTGATTGCTAATGAAGGCGGGATTCGTGTTTTAGTTCGTGTTCTTGATCCAAAATCTTCATTTTCATCTAAAACTAAAGAGATGTCGATAATGGCAATCATGAGCTTGTGTTCGAATCCAACAAGATTGAATAATCTAGTGAGTTATGGCTTCATGGATCACATTCTCCATTTGCTTCGTGATGGCGAGGTTTCGGTTCAAGAATCGTGTTTAAAAGCCGCCTTTTGGCTAAGTGGGACTTCAGATGAGTTCAAGAAAGCCATGGGAGATGCGGGATTCATGCCCGAACTCATCAAATTCGTGGCTGCAAAGTCGTTTGAGGTTCGAGAAATGGCATCTGAAACACTTTCTAGTTTGGTTTCAATCCCCAGAAACCGAAAAAGATTCGTGGAAAACGATCAAAACGTGAGCTTGCTTCTGCAATCGATCGATCCAGAAGAAGGCACTTCAGGTAACAGAAAGCTTTTACTTCCTATAATCATGTCGTTATCGGGCTGTAACAGTGGCCGAAAGAAAATTTTGGGTTCTGGGTACTTGAAAAACATCGAAAAACTAGCCGATGAGCAAGTTTCGGATGCGAAAAAGATCGTTAGGAACCTTTCGTCGAACAGATTAGTTCGTTTGATTAGAGGAATTTGGCGTTGATTCGTTCCTCGTTTTTGTGTATAATTCGAGTTTGTTTTCATCACGTCGTGGTTCATCGAGGGTATGTCGAGTAAGTGCTTACTCAACGTATAAACGATGAAGATAAGCTTGTAAAAAGAAATAACACTGGATCGTTTTAGTTCGTTTATGTCCAAAAACGCTCATTCTTGCAAACATGGTGTTCCAACGATTGTATGTAAGGGTGTAAATGATGCGAGTCGAGCTCGAGTATCACTATACTCGACTCAAACTCGAAACCGAATTTCCAAGTTCGAACTCGACTCGAAAACTCGCGAGTAGTAAAAATCAAAGCTCGACTCAAACTCGATAACTATTTCTCAAGCTCGAACTCAAACTCGAATCAAGCTCAAACTCGAGCTCGAACTCGAATCAAACTCGAACCAAGCTCATCCATTCAAATTTATGAAATTTTAGGATTTTTCTCTTATAAATTTTAAAAATTAAATGTGTTCTCTTAGTTTTTACAAAACTAAATGATCAACTTCAAACTTCATCATMAAAAAGACAAAGTTAGAAATTACATTCACCTCCCTATCTTTTTATAACATTTTTTCTCCCTTTCTTTACCATCTTTCTTCCAATGTGGGACAATTTCACTAACTTTTTTTTATAGTTTTTCTTTGTCTTTTTTTTTTATTTTGATTTTAATAAAAATAATAATTGATTCGTTTTATAATTAAAAAATGCATAATATTGTTTAAATATCTAAAAACATAGGACATTTTTATTATTTATATTTTACAAATTTTATCATAAAAACTGATTATATTTTAAAACTAATTATATATAAAATAATCGAGTATCTCACGAGCTTTTCGAGTCGAGTACTGTGTAACTTGACTCGACTCGTTAATATATCGAGACGAGCTCGAGTTCGAGCCGAGCCTATTCGAGTCGAGTGTTGACCGAGTTTTGACCGAGTCGATCTCGAATAGCTCGCGAATTATCTCGTATCATTTACACCCCTAATTGTATGTGTGAGAATATGTGAAACCCTTTGAATCACTCTGTAAAAGAGTCTTGATACAGAGAGGGCAAGTTCCAACATATATAGAGGTTTGATGGTCTGTGTTTAGTTTAGCTGATGTGGGACTCCAATACTGTTAGGCAGTGCCTCTAGAATGGAAACAAAAGAGTTTGTCGTGTCCCAAGATGTTGTAGACCTCGGCTCTGATACCATGTGAGGAAGGATACGGGGAATCCATTTGAATCTCTGAAAGAGCCAGGAGAGATTCTAACACATACAGAGGTTTTAATGGTTTGTGTCTAGCCCGATGTGACACTCCAACACGGGAGTTCAGACAGCGCCCCTAGAATGCATCGAATCTATTATCTAGTGAATCAATTGCTCGTGGTACCTATTGGATGACTAAACATGGTCCATCTAACCTCTATATATATTCGCTCTCGTTATAAGGGCTCTTTCCATAAAGAGACTCACATGTCTTAACATGGTATCAGAGCGTCAAGCAAACTCAATAGCATCTCTGTTCTAACGGACGTATCCACTTAAAGGAGTGTCAACCCTCCAGGCGCGTCGGATCTCACATCAGTTAGACACGATCCGCCTATATACATTAAAACTTTTTTCCTCTCTATAAAACTTTTCTAGAGAAAGATTTCATATATTCTAACAGTAATAACCGACACAGACAGTTTTCAAATCCTAAAGAAAACGTCAGGGACCATCTGATATTCGTTAGTAATCAGTTCAAGTCTCTCAAGATTATGGAAGGTTTTCTTGTATTGTTAACTTGAGGGTCCTATAAAATTAATATAAACCAAAAGGATTCCAGAACTATGTTTTATTGGGAATTTTTGTTTTTATAATATACAAGTAAAGGGTTGTTTGATAGTTACTGAATGATTTAGTGTAGAATGATTAAATGGTCAGAATGATTAAGATGTTCTCATGATATAGCACAAAATAAAACACAGTTATTTGGTAATTGTTTACAAGCCCTGAATAAATAAAGAAAAATTAAGATACAAAATCATTCACATAATTTTAGAATCATTAAAAAAAAAATTACCAAACAAGATTTATATCTTACCTATTCAAATAGATGTAATATAAACAAACAACCATTTATTACACGTCATTGTCCTTTATGTGTGTGTAATTATATACAGGCATTAAAGTGTCCCCAGTGTGTGTATTTAAAGGTTTTTGCAGTTGTGGATATTTTGGTACTTGAAGCAACAAGTGTCTGCACAAGGAATATAATAATTGTTTATGCATCATCAATTCTTCTTCAAATATTTTATAAAGAAAATTACTGATTTGGTCCCTAAAATATGTTGAAATTACGGATTTATCCTTTATCTTCATTTATTATAAAAATACCCTCCACGTATGTAGTTTTTTTTTTTTTTTTTTGAATTTGGTCCCTGAGACAAATGGTCGTCAATTGTCTTTGTTAGGTACGAGGGTAAAATGTTAGACAAACTACTAAGATTCCATAGTGGTATTTTACTGATGGCTTGGACAATCATTGATTGCCTTGAATAACTGACCCATTTACCAAGCAGAGTCTCGTGAACTGTTCCTTCTTTGCCTTCAAATACATCTGAAAGCAGTTCGATTCTATCTGAACTACTCCTTTAAGAGATTTTGAGTTTTGAATTATTATGATAGACAAGCTATAAAGAATATGTTAGAGATATCGTTAACTATTAACACGTATACCATACATATTTTTGGAATGTGACATAAATTTGTTGTAAAAATATAAAATAGTTTATTAATAGGAAATATGATTTAAAAACTATATGACATCATCATTTTCAAAGATGTGAATAAATTTAAAATTACGATTTTTATCTCTATGGTTTGTTAATAGTTTTAATTTTCGTTTATGGGTTTAGAAATGACAATTTTCTTTTTTGTAGTTTGCAATTTATTGCTATTTTTGTACCTAAGTTAATTCTTACCTTAAAGTATAAGGGGGTTGGTAATAGGTAAGAGTAAACCCATTATATGTTATATTTCGACTCATTGGATAAGGGTATGCATAAAAAAATTCATCCATTTATCCACTTATCTTCTACCCGTTTACCCAACATTTTAATGAATAGGGTATGAATAAAGTATTTTTTGTTATCCATTTACACGTTACGTTTATTGATAGAAATTAATCGCATTTTCCCGACTCTTTTTCAAATTTGATAAATGTTGGTTGATCGTATATTTCATTAGATACGCAAGGTCTTCCAAAAGTGGAACAAGGTTCTTCGCTTTGCATCGAATTAAACCCCTGAATAGCTTCTTTCAAAATGACTTCTGCTTCACAATTATATATATATGTATGTATATATATGTATATATATATATGTATGTATATATATATATGTATATATATATATGTATGTATATATATGTATATATATATATGTATGTATATATATATATATGTATATATATGTATATATATATATGTATATATATATGTATATATATATATATTTTTTTGTAACTATGGTTTGTTAGTAATTTTAATTTTCATTCCTGGATTTAGAAATTACAATTTTTCTTTTTGTGGTTTGCAATTTATTTCAATTTTCGTACCTGAGTTAATTCATACCTTAAAGTATAAGTAAGGCTGGCAATAGGTTAGAATAAACCCGTTACGTTTCGACCCGTTGGATAAGGATATGGATAAAAAAAATTCATCCATTTATCCACTAATCCGTTACTCGTTTACCCGACATTTTAATGAGTAGGATTTTGATAAAGTGTTTTTTATTATCCATTTACCTGTTACCCGTGTGTGTATGTATGTGTGTGTGTATATATATATATATATAGAGAGAGAGAGAGAGGAGAGAAGGTTTACTTTGCAAACCACGTTATTTGTACAAACCGTACAAACCTCATTCAACCAATCATAATTTTTCATTTTGCTCATTTTTATGTAATTACTAGAGGTTGATTAATCTATAGCTCAAAAGGTGGATTCGTGGTTACAACACAGGTCAATTGTGGCTTTCTACGAAAGTTGCTACACCAAACAAGCTCACTAAATCAGTGGAACCAATTGGGACCAAACCCTAGGACCAGTGGTCCTAGCTTAAAGAGACAGCCATGCCCTGTGTCGTGTTAAAAGTCCTAGATGAACTAGATGTGTGCGTTTGTATAGGGATCAGTGTAACCGGTTGAGACCAGACCCTAGGTTCAGTGGTCCTAGCTCAAAGAGACTGCCATGCACTGGGTTGTGTTTGTGTTGTAGCCCCTAGGTTGACTTTTTATGTTGGAACTTAAAAGTTGAAAAGATATAAATGCCTTTTAAAACTTTCCAAACATAGATTTTTTTACCAACAATCAACACCAAAAATAACTGGGCCTCCTAATTGGTCCTAAGATCAAATCTTAGAATCCCTAAATCAACGCAAGTCCTAACCAGATATTGGCTGGTCCTGCTAAGATATTGGCTGGTCCAACTATGGTCCTCAGTTCTGACCTTTTTGCCAATATCTAATCCAAAATGTTAATCCTAAATTTCATATGCAGGTGAAAAAGAAGTAAAATATCAGAAGTATTTAGGTCATTGACCTTAAATGAGATTTTTATTAACAACATAACTTTCTGACAAGTTTAGTAGCATTCTAGTGCATTGAAGTGGAATTCTGATGTATGGTAGACATGCTAAAACCTGTCAGAAGGTCATTGATTTAAAAGAAAATTTTCATAGGATCTTTCATTCGAGGGACCAAATATATAGTCGCACTAGAGAAACTTGGATTGGATCTTGGTCCACTAGATGATTGGACATGTCGGGTGCAAGTACAAACGGTCTCTACCGATTCGGGTAGAGGTCAGGTTTGCATACATCTCATCCCTCCAGACCATGCTTTCAAGAGAGAGATATTGGGTTTGTTTAGCTTGGTTTGGGTGCAAGTCCAGGCAGTCTCTACCTTTTGGGGTAAAAGCTGGGTCTGCATATATCTCACCACTCACAATCACAAAACCCTAATTCGAGCAGAATATACAGAGTTTGTTTTGTTTTGGTTTGGGTGCAAGTACGGACAGTCTTTACCTCTTGGGGTAAGGTCAGGACCATGTGCATCTCACCCCTCCCAAACCTTACTTTTGAGTGGGATATACCGGGTTGTATTGGTTTGGTTTGGTGCAAGTACGGACCATCTATACCTTTTGGGGTAAGGTCATGTGTGTGCACATCTTAACCCCCCCCCCCCTTCCGACCCTGCTTTCAAGCAGGATATACTAGGTTTGTTTGGTTTGGTTTGGTTGTTTGGGTGCAAGCAGACACTTAGACGAATAGCCACCAAGAAGTTAAATACATATGGCGGTTTATTTCTCAAGTTACAGAATGAACTCACAGACGCTTTTTACATTGAAAACATGTTGATCATCTCCTTACAATTTAAGCAGGGAAATGATGGCACAACGTAAACTGTTAAAAAGAAATAATAGAAAGTTACACAGTGGTACAATTTAAAGAAACAAACCTTTTGTTATCATACAGAGTCGACGCTTTCAACTTGCTGTCGAGCTAGATATCTCTCTCTTCTTTCTTTCTACAAKGATAAGAGAAGGGAATGATAAAAGCCATATGAAGTACATGAACACATGTCACGCAAATACACACATATGAGAAGGTTCATATGGATCCCATGCATATATAGATACATAAAACAAACATATATATATGTGTGTGTGTGTGTGTGTGAATGACAACTCACCCATTCATCAATGACAAGGCCTTCATTGATGATTTTTGGCCCGGTTTCTTCTGCAGGTTTTTTGTGGGATTCAAGAGCAGCCTCTGCTTCAGCTAACCGGTGCTTCAATTTTTCCAGGGCCTTGAAACATGAAGGCATAATATTGTAAATCCCATGAAAGTTCCAAGGTTTCTCCAAGCATATAGTTCAGAAAACGTTTGAATAATAACCAAATATCATAAACACCCTTCACCAACTCACCAACCCAAATCGATATCATCAGTTTTTGTAATGATAACAATGGTGAGTACATAAATTTTGGATTATGAAGTTCCCATAAGAAAAAAGAAATCTCAATTTCATCGAATATCCCAAAATGGGAACTCTTGCAATTCTAGTGAGATGCACGGAGTATAACATAATGGACTTACAGGACTCGGACGTTCAACATCAAGAAAAACAACTTGCAATATCTGCTCCACAGCCACTTGATCTTTCTGCTCATCGAACTGAGTAAAAAACATAGTATAAGCCAAAACTTATAGACAATAACAAGGTAGAAGCCATAGTCAATGAACTCAAGAGTGATTTCTATTAAATTATAGGTATTCAACTGATCTAACTAAATTGCAAACCATAAGGAGGAAGGTAGTTTCAAACCAAACCATGGATACATGAACCACCTTGTTACAAACAAAATTGATCAAATATGGAATGGGATAGGGAATCCCCAACAAATTCTAAGTTAGGGTGGTTCAGGTATAGGGTGCTTCTTCCTCCTTTTCCCCTAAAAAGTTTATCTTTCAAAGATTACAAGTATTTCTATAACCTATTTATACAAATTTACTTCAAAGTTCAAACCGAAATATATACCTAACATGCCTACACCAGCTTAAGTCACTCCAAAACTTTTCACAAGCTGGGGGTTTTCACGGAAACAGCTTTACCCCTTGAAGTAGAGGAACGGTTTGCATACATCCTACCCTAGACCCTACTTTCAAGAGGGATCCATAGGGTGTATATAGTTTTGTTTGGGTCGGTTCACATCTATACTTGTTTGTTTGAAACAAAACTACGCTCATTATTCTTCACATATGCCTGTGCGACCCCACAAGTGTTTTCAGTTAAAAATTCATTTGGAAAAGTATGCCTGATTAGAAAACTTGAATTGAAAGTGAAGTCAATGCCAAAATAGGGCAGGTTTGGAGAAGGTTCAAATTATTTGCTGCCGAACAGGGTGTGAATTGGAGAATGACTGGAAATACTACACTAACCATCCCTAGCATATGCAAGCACTTAAGCCAGAACGGTTTTGTGAAGGTTTCAAGTACTCTATACAATTTAGCAACCACAGGAAGTACATCCTCAACTGATGAGAGGAAGAGAGAGAGAGAAGCAACCGAAAGGATTCTGAAGCATCCACAGGAGTCGGTATTGTTTCTCATAACAAACCGAAATAAGCAAAATTTATGCATGTGTGGTTTTATTGGAGCTTTACTTTTTTACTAATCTTTTCCAAACCAGCTGTACCTACAAGAGTCTTTTCATTGCTTGTGTTAGGTGTTGAAATAATGACTTTAGCCTGATAAATTCCGAACTCAAGGTTCAAGCCCGTCAGCCATCATTCATAAAAAGATGACAAATCAAAATAAAATTTCCAGTCGGCGAAAGAGGAGAAGCTGGCTATTGATAATATAAAGAAACAAAAGAACCTCATATTTTAAAAAACGATGCATATCTCACCAGCTCAGGTACATAGTCCATCATTCCTTTGACTTTCAGACTCATGATTTTAAATTTCACCTTTCTCTTCTGGTCCATCTGTTTTTCATTGCTATCCAGGGGCTCCACAAACTTGAAAACTATCACAAGAATTAAAACAAGAACTTAAAATATATAAGTAGTAATCGTTATATAAAGGATGCATTTTACAAAATTAAATCTACCAAGAAGTGTTAAGTTTGCCAAACAGTCTCAACCTTCTTGTCAGAATGCTTAATACATGTAACATTAAAGAATAACTAGACCAAAAGTTATTACCAGTTGCAATTATACTCTCACCAGGAGCAAGAATAGCACCCGGAGGACGCATAAAACAGCTTTTTGGGGCAGTTGTTTGAAACTAAAGCAACATAAACAAACAATATATATCAGATGACAGAAATTAGCTACGATTACATGACTATGCAAGCCTATTAGAGAGAAAAAAAGTTTCAAATAATAAGTACATGTTGTGAGCCACTAGTCAAAATAGAACAAAAGGTAGAAGGCTTAAACAAGCTTTACGGTCATACCTTAAAAGCAACATGAGACTTGCTGGTGTTTTTTATCTTGATAGCACTTTGGACTTGCTTACCAGGTTCATCTAGAAAGTTTCAGAAAAAGGAAAAATGATTCATTGTTAACCATGCAGGTACATCCAAAAACATATGGTATATGATTATCATGTTAGATCAATGGCAAAGAACTAGGTTCAAAAAAATCTACTCCGACACATGAATAGGTTGAAATAGAGATTCAAGCTAAAGAAGCACTCACACATCCAGATGAAAAAAAGGAAAAAATGCTCAAAATCAGATAGCTAAAAGGGTCAACAGCATAAATCTAGTAGTTTGAATTCCAATTTATAACTCCAAATGTTATTATTAAGAAGCATGCAAACAACAGTCCGCTTTACTTAAGATGGCATTCCTCCATAATAATGATAAGAAAAATTACCCACAGATTGGAATATAATAGTTAACAACTTGTATAAAACTCTAAAATGAAGGGGCAATAACTGATGACCGATTTGTTGCAAGACCACCGAGAAGTTATGATATGAAGCATGGATATGAAATGTAATATTAACGAAATAACTAAACAAGACAAAAATGTTGAGGCCAGAAAACCAAGCCCAGCATTCAGATTGCATTGTATTTATTTAGGAACTAAAGCCACTTTTGGCATTTTAACAACCCTACATTGGATTCAAGTCAACAAAGGCTATGCAAATTACCCTCCCTTCAATACAATACTTTTTTAATATGCTATACACAATATCCGGGGTCAAAGCGGAAAACAATTAAAGGTACTTTCTGTTATTCAACAATGTGGAGAAATTTCTAATATATGCATTCATTTATACAAGTGAATAGCATAAAGATAAACTACAAAAATAACCTGCATCCTACCAAAAAAAGAAAGATAAGAGAACAATACATCATGTAATGATGTAATCCATATAACCGGCTGAATAGTTGGTGGACTAGACGAGGTTCTAATAACATAATTTCAAACAATATGAAAATCATACTTTATATGTTCGGTTCTGTCTTAGAAAACCTTATTCTTGGCCATATAATAGCAGATGGATTATCAAAGTAGAGCATCATCAGTTTCTCCAAGAAGGTTCCAGACTCCTATAACAACCTTCTAGCCCAAATCCTGTCACATGTATACCACGGCATAATACTCCGACATGACAATGTCACAATATATTGTAGGCCACAAGCTCTTCCAGGATAATACTATTCACTATGGTTATCTATTCACTAGTCACCACTATAGGTTTAATCCTAAGTTTTTCAGATATACTGGATGTTTATGTACACTGCTAAGGTTTAAGTGACACTGGACTTTTAGATTTAAAAAATCAATTTTACATTTTATACCACTATAACAAACGTTTGCTGAAGCATGCCTAGCCCCTAGGATAAGTAAGGTTTCTCTCCACTGGTAAGTTATTAACACCAATGTACCTGCCAAAAAGAAATTATCAAGTAGTAAAGTTTTGCATTGATTATCCTACACTGTTTTGATGGTATGACTCGGCCCAAGTTAAGTTGAGATTCAGCAGATATGCTTCACTATCCATTAAGACACAACACAACATAGATCGATCAAGAGCTTTGTGCATTCAATTTAGGTGCACCATGCAGCTTTATGTTACTTTTATTTTGGAAACATAAGAAGTTATACTTCTTATTAGTGTTTTTCCTGTCACATCAACCTTGATTCCACTCTTTTCGTCTTCTTCATATGAACTATGACAGCATCATTATCATCATATATGTTACCCACCTGTGTTCATTCCCCCTTTTTTGTCGTTCAGTATTCTGAAGTTTCTTAATAGGGTTTCTTTGATTAACAAACCTAATTTTTTGAAATTTTAGGTCACGATAGAAATAGAAATGTCCTCAATTTCCAAATCAAGTAGTTGATTATGATACCTCATTAGAATATAGCAGATCTAATTATAAGCATACAATTTACAACTTCTTCGAAGATGCATCTTTGGTAGCCTTTTTGCATTAAATACTTTATCAATAACAAAAGATGCGAACTCTATCAAAAGAGATTTAAAAACCTTTTATATCAATCAAAATGCAAATCAGAAAATCACCACCAACGTTATCATTAAACCACCGCAATTCCTATATATAGAAAAAAAAACCTACAACCTGTCTCATAATTAGACTGTGTTAATCCAAAACGGACAAAGTGGTGATTTTGGTGGCTGCGCATTTACTGTAATTGAAATTACTACAAAGAAATTCATTGTAATAAACTAATAATAGAAAGCACCTCAGATACTTGTTGCAGCGTTTAACAGTATCAAATGAACCAACAGTTTCTTGACAAAAACTTCAAAAAGAATTAATAAAAAACAGTAGGCAACGTAAATAAAAGTGCAATTATTACTTATGAATCATACTGCAAGAACTAACGTTCTCTGTTCACTAATCTGAAACTAAAAACAAAAGTTTCCCAAGTTTATAATTAAACAGGTCGGATTCAGAATAGCTAATACTCAAGCACCAGTAGTAATCAGAGTAAACGTAGCAAATAAAGGCGAGATTTCATACTAGGAAAGTACAGCTTATTGCGTGGATCAAGTCGAAGACGACGCCGTGTCGGGAGCAGAGATCTAGCCACCGAAGAAACGGAACTGCTCGAACTCGAGCCATGGTGGTTGTTGCTGTTGTGAGCGTTCGATCCTTCGATTTGATAGGAAGAAGACGACGTCGTTGTGTGCGTTGTAACATTTCCTGTGTTTCGAAACGGTAGCTTAAACAATCCCCAAACTTTACTGCCGCCGCCGCCTTCCGACGGAGGTCTATTGTCGACGATTGCCATCACCGGCAATTCAAATTTCGAATTATTCGCCCAGAAGTACAGCTTCTTCTCTCTACAACTGCTTCTCTTTTTCTCTCTCTAGAACTCCATGGACTCTTGAAATGCAACGAACAAGTCGCGTCGTTTCTCCTTTTTTTCTCACGATGATTTGAAAAAGATGAGTATTTTGTGTACAATTTTCACATTGCACCCTTCAACTATTTCTTTGGTACGAAATTAGTCCCCAACTTTATTTTAAATTCCAATTCTATCAAGTTCTACCCGTTTAAAGAGGATAAGTATGCATAACTCTATTTTCGAGTACAATTTATTGGATTTGTTTGGTTTGGTTTCATCAATCTTTTCATACCTAAATTATACCGGTGGTTGCACAACCGACGCTAGTGACCCACTAACCATAGCCCTAAAGTCTTGTCAAACCTAACCACAAGGGTTGTGTCTGGTTGGTTTAAGCTTGGTTCCAAATGTCAAAAGTATCTGCAAGTCCCAGGTTCAAATCCAAGAAGGAATAAAAATTCATTTGTGGCCACGGAAATTCAAATGCGGTGACTCCGGACTATATGCAAAGCAGGTGATCGTTTTTGGATTAATCGGCTCACATAGCGGGTTGGATATTCAGGTTAATAAAAAAAAGTATTTGTCAAACCAAATACATATCACTGTTTTGGTATTCCATCACAAGAAAGATGATTGTGACTTCACTGTAAACTAACTTATTATCATTGATATATTATATCGCAAGCTGATAGATATTCACGAATGCAATATATCTACTCTTTGAGGTAGATGAAATATATGCATACATTTTCTTCTTTTCAAAACTTGTTATTTGTGAAATTTATTAGATTCATTCGAGCTGATTTAATCATATTATATCGATCAGGATAAATCACTAAAAATGGTGATGTGTGGTTGTATGCAAGTTAAGATTGTGGATTTTACTGTCATCTATTCTTTCATGAATTATCGAAATTTTTGAAACGATAGATGCAAATTATTTTGGTTGGGGGATAAATCAGGGGTTTTAGAAATAAATTGTAGCAAATTATTAGAAATAGTAAACATAAGGGGATGATGTGACAAGTGGAATATAGTTGAGGTGGTAAATTGAAAATTAAAACATTTGCAGCAGGATAATGATGACACGGGTCTCTAACGAGAATAACCCAATATTTTCTTAAAATTACATTTTTAACCTCTTAAATTTAAAAGTTTATAAAATTAACCATCAGTTATTCATTTAGCGTGGTAATGGGGACTTATGTGCAAAAAAAATATGACATCGATGTGACTCTTTTTCTGACAGACTTGACCATTAGTTAAATCCAATTTTTATTTTTATTTTTAATTTTTTTTAGAAATTTTTTTAAAAGAATATTAGATTTTCGTTTAAAAATTTATTTAAAAAATTAAATTTAAGATAAATGTTTATTGAATTAATTTTTAAACAAAAGCTTGTAAATGCTAATGAGAAGGTACAACAGTGATGTTGCATCTTTGTGATTTTGGTGCAAATCTTGTTTCTATTAATCAGTGGCACCACACCCTTGTAAATGAAGCAGAATGCATGCCTTTGATTTTCAATTGTTTGCTTGACGTGCCACATTCTTATTGATTTTCAGGTGAAAACACATGAGGACATGTATAAATAGTTGCAAGAGTACAACACAAGCTTGCAGCAGTATAATACCAAACAACTTAAATTAGAAAGAGAGAAAGCTGCCATTTTAGAAAACCATATCACCTTAAGGGGTCATTACAGGTTGTTGCAGAAGGAATTTACTTCCACTATAGTAAGCCTTCTGCCTTTCATATTGCTTTGTAAATTATGCAATGCCTTGGATGTCATATGGTATCTGGAAATTATGATTAAACCTACAACTTTTTATTGGTATAATGAGTTTTTTGCACATCATTGGTATTTGGAACCTACTTGGAGGGAAGTGAAAGAGAGGAAGTACCTAAGTTTTCACACTATATTTATAAGTGATATTCAATACTGTTGAAAAAGAAGATGGTGTACCAACAAAAGCTAGAATAAATTTACTTGGCCTGTTGGCCACGAATATTACCTGGCCTGCTTCAACCACAATCTTCATCAACGTAGTCAAGAAAATCGAACCATACAAACGCATAAATACTTTTGAAGTGTAAGATCAGTTAACACTTAATACAATCAAACCAAATATGTAAGTGCAAATAATATGGGGAACCCATTTTTTTTCATGGAAACCTAATTTGGAAGAAAACCGCAAGTGTAGGTGACCAATGGGAAGTCCCCTGTTATCAATTTCTACGAAATTTGAAGAGAAATACAACGAATAGTTTTAATGCGTGTATATGGAGTTAATGAAGAGAGTATTTCTAAGTGAGGGTTCTAACCTACAATACCGTAAATCAGCATTAAAACCCACATGTCATGTCATGCGACTTCCAAAGCGCTTTTGCTCTCACCGACAAGCAATATGAGCCATATAAGATTTTGTAAGTGACTTGTGTCAGCTGCGTATGAAGGAGCTTGTAGTGTACCAAGAGTTGGAGGCATGTTTTGAAACATCTCAAATGTCACAAAGTATGCAAACTTGTGATGATGTAATGTGTTTTTCCACGTTTATACGTCTATGTGGCTGTGTTTTAAATACATAATTCGTTTTCTTATTAAAAAAGGAAACTAATCTAGCTAATTTACAGTTGTTTGTAATTATCTAAACCGACACTCCCCCTCCAGTAAGGGCATATGTTTAGAAGACTTTGCTTATTATTCCATCAAAGCTTGGCTTGAATAATCCTTTTGTAAGGATATTTAGCTGCTTGTTGCATGGTTGGAACATACTACATACAAGATACATATCACTCTGTTTTTCTAGTTTTTCTGTGATGAAGCGACGGTCAATTTTCACATGTTTAGTTCTGTCATGCTATACATGATTATTGGGAATACCTGTTGTCGTAGGGTAGTTTCATCGAACCATCCAATGGTAGTTGTACTGCTCTAGTTTTTGTTTGAGCCAAATTGCTTAAGAGATAACATGAAAAATTGTACTTCAGCATTGTTGCGAGTGGACTACATTTTGCTCTTTAGTTTACTTCTCCAAGTTATTAGATTTCCCCATGCAAACAAGTAGTATCCACTAATGTATCTTACGTTGGTGATTGAATATGGCCAATCTACATAGGTAAATACTTAAACCTTTATGTGAACCTTGTTCTCAAAGAATAGTCATCTACGTAGATATCCCTTATGATATCTTAAAATATGGTAAGCTGCTTCTAAATGAACCTTCTTAGGAGTACATGAATTGGCTAATGAGAAACAACAATTATTTTTGGCCTTGTGTGAGACAAACCAACCTTGGTTATTTTTCAGCATCAACTAAATCACCTCTAATGTCACCAAGTATTTTACTGGCATACCTGTCATACTCAGTATCAGAAAGAAGATCTAGAATATATTTATGTTGGTATAAGAAAGAACATATAGCCGTGGGGTTCTTTTGGCTTATTGTACTACTTTAGACGAGTGCCTCCTCGTTTTCCTATGAATGGCTGATTGATTATGCGTTTTTTGATGCTCTAACATTTTCAAAAAAAATTCAACCATATGGTTTTAAGTAGATGTTTATTTTTCCTTTTTGCCACATCGTTTTATCGTCATGTGTCGACACAAGAACTTTGTTGTATGATCTCTTTTCAGGGAAACAATTGTGTTACAACTTTGGAAAAACATTCGCTACCATTAGCACTCCTAAAAATTCTAGTATTCTCATTAAAACGGTTTCTAACCATATAGACATAGTAGAAATATTTGAAATATCTGCAACTTCGTGTTTTTCTTTCATCGAAGAAATCAAAGTGAATCGTGTGTGATTATGATTGGAAGAAACAAACCATCGTGTGCCAAAAAAATGTGAGAAGTGCATGATGGATCCCAAATATCACCGTGGATGAGTTGAATGGCTTAGATGAAATATAAGACCGAGAAAGATAGGAAGATTTGTGATGTTTTGCCGAAGCACATGCTTCACATTGAAATAAAGATGGATCTTTATTAATAAATAACTTTGGGATTCGGGAAAAAAACATTTTACATAGCAAAAACTGGGATGTCCAAATGAGAATGCCATAACAAAGCATCTTGATCATTAGATTAGGCATGGCAACGGGGCGGGTTTTGTAATCCCTGGCCCCAGTTTGTAGTAACGTCCCCCGGCCCTGGTCCCCGGCATGTACGGGGATTATATTTATGTAGGGTAATTTTTTGTCATGTATTTTGAAAAGCTAGACAAAAGCATTGCTTGGTTGTTAATGAAGCACAACACACTGTTTACTAGCCCAAGACCCTCTATATATTTATGTATCATGTATGTATATGTGTGTATATGCATATCAGTATGTATGTCCATGTGTATGTGTGTATTTAAGTAGCTTGCTGCCAACTGACTACATTAGAAGTCAGGCCTGAATTTGTAGTTTAAGATGACAACTGCAATTAAAGGAAATGAGAATCCATAATTACTACAACGTATCATCACTAGTTCCCTTCGCCCGTCCATTCCTTTCAAGCGCCCTTAGACTCGTTACGTTGTTCGACTGAACTCGTTGGTCTATGTGTTCACTTTTAAATCGGTCAACTAACGATACCCATCCTTTTGCCTTCTCGTAAGTTGGTACAACATGCAAAATTTGTGTATTGTGCTTGTTAAATCTGGTTTTAACTGTGTTGTAATATGATTCTCGAGATGATGCCTTAAAGCAATAAAGAAGCAGCTATGAAAGAAGTTGATATCCTTATAGGAGAACTGCTGCAAGTAAGGGATGATCGTGATCACAAATTGTTACAACTAGAGGATTTAGCTACTGAACTAGCTAAACATAAAGAAAGTACTAGTCGCTCTATTGTCGAGTTGGATAGTTTGAGCATGAAGTCAAATGTATTGGAGGTTGGTTTTGTCATGGTTTTTAACTGAATGATCTTGTATAATTTTATTGTTCTTTTTTAAGCATATTAGATTTATATACAGTAAAAACTCACATTTGTCACATTTACTGGACTTGAACCCTTGGCCCCCAAGGAGGTTGGGAGCTACTGGTAACTTGAATACTGCAGGGCCATTGGACCTTTAGTTATAA